TCAGAACACACAGTTTGCTGCGTATGGAGCTGCGTATGGAGCTGCAGACCGGTCAGAGAGCCCATGATGACCCCTGTCCTCCACTGAATGTACAAAGGGCTCCTGAGCATCAGAACTGGACCATGCAGCAATGGAAGAAGGTTGCCAAGTCTTTTAGATCAGGTGGGTGGCCGGTTGTGCGTGTGTTGTTTACCTTAGGAAGTAAGGTTGTCAAAAAGTACCGAATTTGATACCAGTCGGTACTGAAATTTAAAAAATGTGACGATACCAGCATTTCCCACTAGCCTTTTGAGCGCTGTTCAGCGGATTCTTAAAGAGCTCTGATTGGCCATTGTGTTCACGCGCTCAACAGATATGTCTGTGATTGGCTACAGTGATCAATGCTTCAGTGCCATATGTTACATATTCAATTCTAACAGAAACGTAATGGTCTAGTTTCACACGGGCTATGGAATCTTGACAGGCCGTACACTTTACTGTAATATAGACAGTAATATAATAAACACAAGGAAGTATCTCCACTCAGTTACCCATATCATTACAGACACTGTGTACACTAATAATAAATAAACAATCGCTCTATAAATATCAGAAGGATCATAACTGACATTTAGTTGACCTGAACTTTGGCCATTAACGGCATAAATACGCCCTGACATTTTGGGACTTTGATCAGAATACTGGGCTCAAAATTATTTCCCGAGGTTTCAGTGAAGATGCATTGAATTAACCAAAAGTGACAGTAAAGACATTGTTACAAAAAAAAAAAACAGTCAGTGTGTTCAAGAAGGAATGATGGCAACCATGCTTTAGGCAATTACTTGAAATCAATTGGATGTAAATTGAAAAAGAAAAGCTTGTTTCCACACACCAGTTCCTTGTAATTTCCTGTCTGTCTGTCTATCTGCCTATTATTTGATTTGTGGTTCAGCACATCAGCACATCACATGTTGTTGTGAAATTCTCCACCATCTGAGTTGACTCCCACCCACGGACTCACAGTCTCACCCTTAAATCCTCTCGCTAATGTTTGTTTTTTGTGATCCCTGCATCATCTTCCCCCAAGGCCATTGCCAATCCTCTAGCACTTCATCAAGGGTTGATATCAACACTCAATTGGTACTTGGAGAGGTGTGCTTGTAGGATAGTGAAGCTGAGTGCCTTAAGGACTACATAGTTGAAAGTACAGAGAAAGCCTGAGGGGGTTTCAGTACATCTGTAAAACATGTTTCAATCTGAGTTTAGAAGGACATCAGGGACAATGATTGGCCGAGATTACTCAAAACCTGCTTGTTCTTCATAGGCTGGAATCCTGTAAAACCATAGGTGGGGGTTGTTATTGTATTCCTGAGTAAAATGAAGGGCAAGAGCAAAAACAAACATGCAAGCATTTATTCAGCTCGTTGCGATATTTCCAGCGTAGTGGCGTCTTGTTTTTCCGGAAGAGAGTCTGCTGTCCTTAATCATAAAGAGAGCCTGCTGACAAAAACAGATGCTATCCAGACAAAAAGATGACCTAGTCATTTCACTGTAGGAATGGGGTTGCACTTGTTTTGGGAAATCCGTTTTGAAAATGTGGAGCATCAGAGGGGAAGGATAATCTCAGATTATTTCCACATGGATTGCTTGAAGTGCAAGCAGTCAAATCTGCAGATTGAACTGGAGCACAAATAACTTGAATTAATATTCTTGTGAAGGAATACCCTTTGGACTGAGGCCTGGACTCTATCCCGTTTCAAAGTGCTTAAGGAAAAATGAGCTCACAAATACTTAGAGCTCACTTTCATAACACCTCACTTAATTTATTTGCTGCTTTTTGCAGAATCAGCAAAAACTTATGGCATCCATTTTCAGCACAAACAATTCGGCATCACTCAATGTCAGAGTGCTAGTGAAACTGAATAATCAAGAGCAAAAAAATTAATTAAGCAATATCACATGAGCAGGAATGCTGTTGTACTAAATATCAGACACATCAGTGCTGATATTTCAGAAGAAAATGCACTGTTACTGCTTTTATACTCTAATACATATTCAATTAATATTTAGTAACTTGTATTTTAGACACAATAGGTACCAGTCTGTCT